AGAAGCTCCCTGAGTGACTCTGGACCAGTCCCCCTCCTCTGCCCAAGCTACCACACAGGGTTGTTGTGGGGAGAAATGGGAGGAAGGGCTACGTATACGTCATCCAACATACCTATTTTAGAAGCTAAAGTCTCACCATCTTGCTCCTTGGTAAGAGTCCTTTTCTCTTCTGACATCAAAAACCACAGGCAAATAAAATCAAATGTATGTTTGCTAGCTCTCTTTTTAGCTTTGATCAAAGAGAAAATAGGGGCAGTCAACCTTAGTGGACCATCAAACACTGAAATGTCATTGTAGCTATCTCTGGAGAAAATCTGGAAGTGCTAGAACCTACAGTTGTGTCCAAAAGTGGCTAATTGTTGAAAAGAACCTGACATCTGCTATTATTTCATCTTCACTGTTTGTTAATTTGGTTTTAGGTGTGGTACAAATTTGAAGCCCATGGTTTGGGACCACGGCTGATCTATTCCATCAAACTGACAACTGTCTCACTCGTAAAATGTTACTTGGTCCCACTCATCTTCCCTGACACTGTTCTTTCAAAAAAAATCCTCCCTTTCCCCCCCTAGCTTATTTTATTTATTTATTTATCAAAATTATATCCTGCTGCAATCTCTGGACTCATGGTGGCTCGCACAATAAAGATATCCAAACCACTATACACATAAAAACATGTTTATCCTTTTTACTGTTTTTATCATTGTTGGTAAGCTGCCCAGGATTATGGTGCATAAGATGGACAGATATAAATCTAGGAAAAGACAAGACAAGACAATTTAATGAGTCTTGTGAGCGATTCCCTACAATACCATAGACAATACGTTTCAAAGTTATGATACTATCACTTTTTATGGGATTCTGGTAGGGAGTTCCCCACTAAATCAAATCAGAGAAAAGTTTTTTTTTTTTTAAATGCCAGCACTATGAAACTGACTCCAATGGACTATGAAATTGACAGGACTGAGTTCTCTAGTAAGATCAAGTCAGGTGGATAAATTAGGTGGGTGAAATTGACTAGAGAAGGATATGTGAAGGGAACCCATGGATGGAATTGACAACTGAGCTTCTATGAGGCTTACTACTTCAACAAAGCAAGAACATTAAAGACTGTTACAAAGGCAAAGCTGGATTCTCAAAATTGGAAAGAAATAATCCAAGAAGGAAGAAAGAAAGGTAGAAATAATTATTTTAGACAAACCTCACGGAATTACTGAGAATATAAAATGTGCCATACTACCCCAAAGTAGAACTGGTTGCAGAGAAGAGGAATAAACTAATTATATAGTGCCTTTCAAAAGACCTTATTTGGTTCTGCTCTTCTTTCCAGGGATAGCGCTATTTTTCTATTACTCCCTTTCTGCCAATTAAATTTACTTACGCTGTTACCCTCTCTGAAAGATAATAATTGTTGTAGCTTCTTGCAATTAAAATGTTTTCTCTTTCTTTTTGCCACTGGCTTTCTGCCTGCAATTAATCTGAAGTTGGCAAACTATGTTCATCTAGGTACAAAAAAAAAAAAAGAAGAAAAAGTTTCTTTGAAGTCCTAATATCCAATGTTTGCCTCAAGGGTTGGAAAGGAAAATTCTGTATTAAATTAGCATCAATGACAGACTGAGTGACAGTTATAAAAATATATTAGAAATTGAAATTTCTTAACTTCATACAGTAGTGTTAACATTCAGTATAGTAGTGTTTATGTCAGCCTCCAACTCATCCCATCCTGGGTTTTTGTTTTTTTCTTCCCAGCTAGTATAACTCAACCTGGATATTCTAAGAGTTTTATTTCAAAACATTTGAAGAGCAACCAATTGAGGGAAACTGATACATGTATTATAATACTTGAAGTTCTATGAAGTTTATGTGACAGCTACCTGCTACCTAATCATTCATAATTCTTAAAAACAAATCTACATGATGACATTTCAAAAAGTGTTTAGACACTAAGGTGAGCCAACAACTGAGTTGGAAAACATTCATTATAAATAAAAACCAACTTTCCATGACAATCCCAAGTTGAATCCTTCAGGTTTGCACATACCATATATGAACACTCGATGGAAGCAAAAAGATTTTTTAAAAACCCTCTCTCCCTCTGCTGCCAACTAGCGCTTGTCTGCATTTATGCCGCTTAGATCTGCTATGGCTAAACATGCAATTAGTCCAGTCAATTAGGAGTAACCAGAGAGCAAAAACACATGTCAGAACATTATAAATTGCAGGTAGGAGCAGAATGCCTGGAAGTAGGTGGAAATGTGATTCAGATCATGTAGAAGAAGGAAACTTGTTCACGAAGTTTTTGGTTCATGGTCAGCATGTCCATTTTGGTTAAGCAGAGCTTAAAGCACACAACTAAATGCTCCACGTTGCTCTGTTCCAGCCAAGTCTTCCCCAATATGGTCTTCTTGAACCTGGTTTGGAAGATTAGCAGTTGCAGCTACGACTGACATAGAAAGCACCAGTTTGGAGAAGGCTGTTCTTTTCAACTGAGGATGTCAGGAACTGAACCCTAGACTCCTACTTGAAAAGCATGTATAGGTGGTCCTCATTTAACGACCACTCTTTCAGTGACTGTTCAAACAAGTGGTAGTTACGACTGGTCCTCATACTTATGGCCATCGCAGTGTCCCTGAGGTCACATCAGTGAAGAAGCTGGCAGGAAGTTGCAAGCTGCAGTCATGTGAGGTCCTCACTTAACGACCTGTGTGGTCTTTGCTTAATGACAGCAACTGCAACTGTTGGAACTGCCATCACTAAGCGGCACAATCACATGGTTTTTCAACTTACAACCACATCACTTAACAAATGAGTTTCCGGTCCCAATTAGTATCATTAAGCAAGGACTACCAATAGCTACAATACCCTCTCCAGCTACCACTCTTTGTTGTATTAGATGCCACATGAATCCTTCTAGGGCTGGTGCTCGTGTAATTTTGAGAGTATGCTGTAGTGCTACTGTGGGTGGGTGGGTATGACATGTTGTCTGTGAGATTTTTATAGGAGCCTCAACTAGGTTTTTCTTTCTATCGATTGCATTATGCAGGATGCTTTATCTTTGTTCGCCGCTCAGAATTCCATTGGTTAGATGAGCAGCTGTATAAATAAATAAGTAAGTTGCCATGGTGGGCACAGCTTACTTCAAAACATCCATCTACCAGAAAACAAACTGGTTAGGTTACGCCTTTCCATTCTCTTTACCATCACAGCTTAACTCATCTTTTTTTGGCAAATGGGCAAATTATGATCAAAGACTCTGGGCTGCAGTCCCCTACTTTTTTCTATTCTCCAAGAAATTTACATGAGGCTCAGAGGCTTTCTGGAAACAAGGATGATGCTCTGTTTTGCAGTACAATAACTTCTCTTTAAAAAAAGAGTAAAATAAAAGCATCTTCAAAAAATACACTGCTCTGACTTCTTTGTTCCTAGTTCTGCTTCAAGAAGACAAAGTGGTATCCATGCTGGGGCAGAGGAGACAAATGAGCTGTGAAAAATTGTTTCCTGAGATCAAAGAAATCAGTCTTCTAGCTCAAAAGAAATAAGAAAAGGGTTGTGAAAAGGAGTAAGAATGAACTTCAAAATGATAGTATCTGAATTCTTTTGCAGGTTTTTCTTCTACACACTGGCTCTTTCTGCTTAAAAAAAATTTAAAACTCTCATGGAAGACTCTGGCATAAGGCTTATGAGTTAACTTTCCATGGATTAAGTAAAAAAATCACCATGGAAAGGTCCTGAAGTGACTGGAATGACTCCCAGGCAGGGTTTACGCTTGCTGTACTGACAGACTAAAACACGATGATGTTCTTTTGAACAGGTAAAAGCAATTACCGTATTTTTCCGACTATAAGACAATACTTTTTTCTAAAA